GAAAAATACAATATCTTTTTATATTATTTTAAAATTCATTGTTTAATAAATATGCAAATAAATAAATATAAAATATAATTTCGATCGTATTATATTTATAGATTTTATTTTTTTATATTCATACATTAGATTAAAATACATATATGTTAAAAATAAGAAATAAAAAATATCTTATCGAATTTATTTTTATTTTATCAATATATATATATAATTATGTTTAAATTAAAATATTATTTAAATAAATAAAAAACATTATATATTTATAAATATAATATATTTTTTTAAATTAATCAAATTCTATATATCAATTAATTATTATATCCATATTATAAGAAAATATCAAATATATTGTTTTAATTGTTTCATAATAATAAAATCTATATTTATAAAATATTATTAATATATTTAAAAAAAAATATGATTCTTAGAATATATCATTTACAATATCGAAATCTCATAAATTCTAAATTAATATCTCAAAAAATAATAAAATCGCAATATAATATCAATATATATATATTTTAAATAAAATTACAAAAGATATTTTCATTTCATAATCGAGACACCAAACATCACATGACCGGGTCACTATCGGGACACCGTCACAACATGACCGAAACTCCATCACAACATAACTGGGGCATAATCAAAACATCCCGAGACACCATCACAACATGTCCTTCACAACACGACCGGGACACCAGCATCACAGGACCGGGACACCGTCACAACATGACCGGGACAGTGTCACAACACGACCGGGACACCGTCACAACATGACCGGGACACCATCCGCCCACCAGCTCTGATGGTGACCCGACGACGCCCGTCCGCCTATTAGTTTTGCAAGACCCCATATCATGGCTATTGGGCAATAAACAAAATCTTATTTAATGCCCTTATATAGTCATTATACATTTATATAGTACTATTGCTTTTAAATCTTAAAACTTTCTTCGATCTGGACCTCGAATACGAATTGATAAAAAAAATTATGCAGATCTCTCTGATTTGATTTCATTGACAATCTCCCAATCGATTCCAACTGTTCATTTTTTGTGTATTTCCGTATTGGATTCTATATTGTACATAGCAATGAACACCACGGAAATACATTGGCATACCCCGGTCCGTCCTTGCACGCTTGTTGGAGCCTGCGATCACGGAGTCCGTCTGCAGAATTCTGTTGGACTCTGTTGCTAGTACTATCCACTGCGTTGTCTGAGGGCTCCAAGATGCTCCAAGGCAACTGATGCCTACTTGCTAATGCTGCATGGTCATGGTAATGCACGTTAGGTTTGCCTCAACTCTGTGTGAACAATTCCGTGTGGCAAGGTGGCTTAAGGCTGTAAAGGATTGACATTTGCGTGACGATGCAAAACAATCAGAATCTGTATATATATAATATCTATATAATTCTATACATATGTAATTATATGCACATATTGGCATGCGTTTCTTTCGCTTCCAAGAGGAGCACAACAGCGGTAAAAAAAACAAGGCCGCTCGCTGACTCAAAATTGAAAGCCTCAAGATGAAAAAAAGGATTCAACATTCAAGAGTTGGGGGGAAGTCACTGCCCGACACCCACAGATTTCCATGCCTGGTGTATGCAGACTCCAGGGCGGCCAGCTCTTCCTCGACACTGCCTCACCAAATCAACCCTTGCTATTTGAATATACTGGGACTCGCTTTGATCTGCTGGTGCGAACGTGAATAGAAAGGGAGAACACATGGCCTCACACATGGAAGTGATGGACTCCTGTGCCCAGATCATGTCAACGTCCACAGGAAAAAAACACACACGAATGCAAAACCAATCGACATTCACATTGGGAAAGCTGCAAGCATCTTGTGCAATAACCCTTTACCAAGTCACTCCAGTTTCAAATTTTCACAAACAACAACGATAGTTGGAGGAAAGCGCCAGGAGATCGACCGATTTCGGCTATTCTGCCTAATGCAGTCTCCTCCTCATCCTCTTCACCCTTTTCCAGCGAAGAATCTGAGCGGCAAGCTCACAAGTTATTAGAAGCCAGGTTCAGGAAAATGGCTTGTTTCAGCGACCGCTTCAACTCCGAATCACCCTGCACCTTGCACATGGTGACAATTCAGTGTCAGTTTCTCCAAAATGGGAAACTGACACTGCAAATTCAATTCTGTTGCTACTAACGATTCGTTCGTTCGTGCAAATCCCACCCTCGCCTTGGCTTGCTTCTGCTGGAAGGTGGCCTTCGCTCGCGGCTGGAACCTCCGATGAAGCCTTGGCAGGTTCAAGATGTGGAACCCATGAGATATTGAGATGCCAATCTTAGGGTCAAGTGGCTCTCATCTTGCTCAACTCAAAAGGGCAACATATATCAACATGGGCCAATTGCCTGGCTCCCCAGTCACTCCCGTGAAGTATGATCTTATATAGCTATAGCTCCAAGTTTCATTTCTCCCCATCGGAGAAAAACCAATATCAAACGATTATGTAAATACCTCAGTTGTCAAAAGCCTTTACAAGGTAGGCTGGCGAGGAACATACTTCCATTGAAATTGTACACCCATGTATATACACCCAAGAAAACAAACGGTTGTCACCCAGAACAAGGAGTCTCATTTCGCATAGCTGGATGTCATTGCAGGCTTTAAGTATTAACCTCTTGATGGAAGCCAGAAAAGCTGCCTGCACTGACTTGCCCCGCAAACCAAGACAAAACAACAACATGACCTTCCAAGAATCAAACAGCACGAGTGCAGTACCTCTATATTTTTCCTGACGCTGTCACCCCGTTGGCTGGGTTTGCCAGGCTGCCGTGGATTTCCCTTCGCATTGAAGCTCCAGGAGCTGCCGGTAGTAGGCCACTGCCTTAGAGAACTCGATGCATCGCTTGGACCAAAAGCTATTCGATGCTTCGGTCCTTCGGTTGATTTCCTTTAGACTTTCAACTTTAGGTCATGGAAAAGAACACTCAACTTCGATTTGAGCGACAAGGTGCCCGAGAATTGTAGCGCGCAAAAAGGCTTTCGCTGCTGTGAGGCTCTTGGAGCTTGGGGTAGCCCTCCAGAAACTCTCGGAAACGGTGAGTGCCTTGGAACCGTGCATGGCAGGAGTTGCTCTACAAAAGGCCGAAGGAACAAACGACTTCTGAAGGTGCATAAAACATGGCCCAACAAGGGCCGCAAGGCACCTCCCAGCTGCATCCTTCGCAGTTGTTGAGGGCTCCAAATGTCCATGGTGGTCGAGCGCACAAAGCTCAAATGGACTCCAAGTCCACGATGTCGCCCTGCACTTTAAAACATCAAGAGCCAAGACGTGATAATGAGAGCATATGCGAGCCAAGAGGTTGTGCATACAATCAGCCTTTCTCTATGTGCTCTGGTTTCAACACGCATAAATCCAAGCACGTACTCTAACATGTCACAACCATGTTGTCACCTTAATAATGTGAATGCGCAACTATGGATGCTAATGCTTGATTCTACTCACCACCAACTCCATCCTAGGCCTAGGTCCATCGTACTGGTCCAAATCCTCTTCGTCCCACCTGCGCAATCCACACAAAGGTAAGCCCCGCAGGAGACACTGGCCCAATCTGCATCGGGCAAACCGCAGTCAATGCAGCTCTGGCCTTTGGCAGACTCCTAACAATCCCACACAATTACACTTCAGGATGTCAGGAGCTGCTTGAATAGCAGTACCATGCCGATGGTGTCATACTGGCACTCTGAAGGGCAGCTCGGAGTAGGGCCAATTGGATGCACTCATGCATATCTACCTTTTGCACAGTGAAACCTTGCTTGGCCGACTTGCACATCAAAACGTGTAACAATGTGTTCGCCGAAGTTTGCATCGGAGTTGGCAACCTCTCAAAAGGGCCTTCCTGGACACTGGCTGAACACCAAAGGAGCTAAAGCAATCACCAAAGGAGCCATCGCCTCTCTCTGCTTTAAAAGGCACATAAATCTTATAATTTTATAATATAGCATGTTACAAATCAATCAATAAGATCTGCGGTAGTCTGCGCTCCCTCCCTGTCTCCCCTTCTCTCTCTCTTCATCTTTCTTCCCCTCCCTCTCTTCTGAAGTTTGCCAAAAACAAGCGGACCTGCAGACCGTGATCTGAACGAAGAAAAAAAACAATCAGATCCAATCAACACAAACATGACAACACCAGGACCAAGAGGGCACTTGGTAAAACTGCCGAACACAAAGCCAAACAACACAACGCAGTGGGTGAGCGAACGATTTTGGGAACATCAACATCAACCTTCTCACACAAAAGGTGTAAACACAGTGAACATCTTGAATAAACATGAATAAACAACCCGTTAAATCGACCTGAAGAAACACATGACACAAAGTAGCACAGTTCGACGATCTCCTGGGCAAAGAAAGTTGCTGCATCTTCGGGCAATGGTTGCTTCAGCAAGTCCTCTTCTCAGGAATCATGATGCGCACAGTGTGTAGATGAGTGTGTAGATGTTAAACAAAGATACTGGAGTGAGTCAGACTGTCACTATCCAAAAGAGTCGAGATTTCTCAGCTGAAAGCAGGACATTGCTTGTGACCAGTGTCTGTTTCATGCCCAGGTCGATTCGTCACAGACTTGTGCTTCGACTGTTTCGATGCCTTTGGTGCATTTCTGCCCAAAGTCTCTCCTCCACATCCACACACGGCGCAGGGTTCTCGCTCTTCTGGGAGCTGGAGCTCTCCTGAACGATGAACCCGGACGACTTGCCTCCAGACCAGTGTCCAACTAGAATCGCTAGAATATTGAAGTGTCAGGCATTCAACCACCTGATTCACCTGATTCATCCTGATTCCCATAATATGTTCATCTGACCTCATCACGATATTGAAGCATGGTTGAGTAAGAAGCTAAGACAAACACTACGGCCTTGGTTTACAACATAATCTGTGTCTGAGTTGACACATCGATTACACTTTCCCGAAACATAGACCATAGTCCCCCAAACTCAGCCAAACCTGGGACGCAACAGTGGCGCTTGCCTTGCAAAGTGGCAGGGCACGCTGCAAAAGTTCCTGGCTCTGGAGAAAGATCGCTGACGCTTGATGTAGACGATTTCTAGGAGGAAAAGCTAGCTGATACACCAGGACCTCGTTGCCCCAAGTTGCGCCCTGGAACGATTGATCTCAGGCACCTCAAGCAAGGCTACTAGCACAGTGTTTGGCAGATCAAAGATGGACACCAAGCATGAGCTTTGGGGAGATGTGTTCTACTTGGGACAAACAAATCCACAAAACTGTTGCTATTCTGTCAACTCCCTTCAATTGCAAACGTGCAAAAAGAGAAGGCCAATGAGCTTTAGGAACAGTCGAGCTGTCTACTGCCACTTTTTATACATGGGTGGAAGACCTTCGCATATGGTGACGGTCCTGCACTTCTTGCCAGGCTCGCTCCAGGCGATCACCCTGCGGGACGTGAAAAATTACTGGTGTTCGCTGATAGCGGGGCCACCATTCCGCCGATAGACATGGATATATGTATACATGGATGGAATTTGCTGGAATTTGAATAGCAAACCGGATTCAGTACTGGAATGTATTAGCAAATGGGAACCTTTGCATGGAGACGCTATATAGTTATATAATACACAAGTAGAAGAACTGTTGTTAACACGTCTTGCCGACTCATGCCTACTTGCCGACACAGTATCTTACAGTAGTTGCCTTCTGTTAAGCCCTGGATCTTAGTATCTTTGTTCATCTTTCAGCACTTTTTTGTTTGCTGAGATGACATTAAGAAAAACGCACTCAACCTTTCCTCAATTCTGAGGTCTCCCAATATTATCATGCACCATCCAACCCGGCCAACCAATCACCTTGCTGTCATGGTCGCCGGACAGAGCTTCCAAGCGCAACCTCTCTTGGCCTCCAAACAGTGGTAATGTTGCTGGGGTGTAGCTCCAACACAGTATGCAGTATATAAGGACCTAAGGGTCTACTTCCTGCTGAACTGTGTCGAGATGTTTCAACACTAGTCAAGCTACTCAACTTAGCCGCACTCCCACCGCATCTGCCCGAAAATGGTTGAGGTACAGCTAACCATTGCCATCCCTTGCGACCTTGTCATATGTGGTCTACCACTCCATATCACTCCAAACTTCCACACGGATTGGTCGGTCTTGGTGAGACCGTGCCGATGGTATGCCGGCCACTCTGGGCCAAACATACCAAAATACCAAAAAAAAACCTCCCAACACGACATCAGTGGGAACTTAAAGAATATCGTCGTACCACTTCCAATGTATTCATCACAGTAGGTTGGAGGCCATCCTTAGTAGGTTGGAGGCCATCATTAGTAGCTTGAAGGTCATCATTAGTAAGTTGAAGGTCATCCCAATCCCACCAAGCGGCGCAAATACCGCCCGAAGCTCCGCCGCAAGTCCCGGCGCCGGCGCCGCAGCTGGGCGCTGAGCTCGGCCGCACGGCGGAGATCTTCGTCTTCCACCACGTCGCGGGCAGTGTGGGCACACGCCTTACCTCAGAGCCCCAGAAACTAGACATAAATATTTAACTTTGTTGAACAACACATATAATATATGCCTATATAAATTATAAAGAACATGCAAATGAAGGAGACTGGATATTGGCAGCAGTTTCGCATGTGTTCGAAACCTTTGCTGTCCTGGTTGAGAGCGCTTTAGTGTATTGGCATCCCAATGATTACGTGACGCACAAGACCACTCCTAAAGTACCAACACGTGTTCGAACAGAAATGATCCGAGTTCTGGCAGTTTCCATGTTCTGCCGAAGGCGCAAGCAACAGCCCGGAGCTTCTCATCAGCCAAACGCTTTTGTTGGCAAAAGGCGCCAGCAATCTTCTCCTGCAAGAGTTTTGGTTAAAATGACTGAGGTAGACATGTCTCGAATTGCCACCAAACATTGAACATAGCAATATTGTTCATGAAGAGGAGTCCCCATGCTTTCGCATCCTCAAAGTGCTTGGTGTTTTCCTTCAGCTGATTTTCCAGCTCTTTGGACCTGCGCGGGTGGGTTGGGTGTCACAACATGGACCACGGTAGTTTGACTGCCTCCGGTCATCTGTTTCGTTCATCTTCAGGGTCCATTTGCATTGCGAGGGTTGCCCTGATAACCAAATTAATTTGAACATGTTTGAACTGGTACCTCCTTACCTCCTTATTCTTTCGTCTATGGCCTGTGTTTTTGTGGGTTGCTACCTCTCGAATGCACCTTTTGGGAAGTCTGATTTCTCCACTCACTTCATACATTTACAATTGTATATACTATATGTGTGTCAGTATATTAATAGAGCTCTTGACAAACAAATCACAGCCAGTCCGAGGCATCCAGCGTATCTACTCCTTTCCGTTCAATCATCGGCAGAGTTTAGATCTACAGCGAACAGGATTGTCCAGCTCTGGCGCTTCAAGGGACAATTCCCGTGGCAAGGGACAGGAATGTTCCTCAACACATGCCTGTGGCCTACCCCAAAATAGCACATGGCATATACACTGTACACCTTCAATATATATATATATATATACATGTTTGCAACCAACACCCGTAGTGAAGCGGCGTGTTGCCCAACCTGCGCTGGTAGGCTCCGCTGGCCTCCTGCGGAAATTTGCTCAAATCAGTTTCCAAGGTCCCGGGGAGCTATTCTATTTTCCGAAGTCGCTTCCACTCCCAGTTCACCCTGTATCTTTAAACGCTTTAACAATTGTGACACTTCCTGAGCGTGCCCCTCACATTAGGTGAGGGGACAAGGTCAATTGGCATTTGGTTCATTTGAGGGGCGAAGCAAAAACTGAAAGACAAACCACCGTTTGGGAAAGGAGAGTTGCTTTGACCAGGGGTATTGTGCTGTGGTGGTGGTTCCACCATACAAACCTCTATTCGGCCATTTCAATATCTATAGAGTTCTAAAATCGTTCATTGGAGAGAGCCCGTTTTCAAAAATTAAAAATCCAAAAACGTAAATCCCAAAGTCAATGTCAAAAAAGTCAAGTCAGAAAGTTTCCGAAAGTCAACACAAAATCAATTTGCACAAATCCGACTTTGTTCTTTTTGTTGACATGTTTCGTTATTTGTTTAAACATTTTTTTTGCTTGTTCGATGTTTAAAAAGATGATTATGATTGTTTTTTCTTTTGTTGACTTCTTCGTTTTTTTTTAATGTTAATGTTGATTTCTTCAATTTTTTTTAAAACATTTTCGAGCTGTGGTCTATTTTTGATGTTTGTTGATTTGTTTTTTGTTTTGTTTTTGACTTTTCAAATTGACTTTTCTGGACTTTGACTTTTCCATTTGACTTTTTTTAATCAAGGATTCTGGCCTTACCAAATGACATATTTTTTAAGTCTAGAGTCTAGAGATCTAGAAACAAACCATCAGTGCATGAGATATCCTGCGTCCAGTATAGAAGCGAACTAGTCGCCTTTACTTAATTATAGTTATATATTACAGTAAGTATATAAGTAGACGTCTACTAAATTCAGTACGGAGGCAGCGCAACGGGCCACGGGCAAAAACAAAAGAAAAAGAAAAAGAACAACACATTAAAAAAAGAGGATCTTGAGTTTCAATGCGAAGAACCTTGCCCATCCTGCCCCTGTGGCCCTATGGTCTTGATTTTGACCCAAGCAACCAATTCCCTGTCCTCCAACTCCATGAGCTGCATCTGCACTTCTTCTAAGCCTCAAAAAACAAGAGTTGTCAACCCGTGCTTGGGTAGAGCTGTCCTTTGGCATGACGGCTCCAACACTGATCAAACGACCAGGTGGACAGCTTCTAAGACCAAGGAAACAGGGTGACAAAGGAGAATCCTGAACCAACAAAGCTAACAACCTGAAGCCTTCAGTGTTTGCTTGACAAGGCCAGATCCCCCGCAAGGAAGAACATGAAACAGCAAAAACTAATAAAACAGCCTCATCTAAACTTTACCCATTTGCAATTGTTGTGAGTTGCAATCGGTCACAGCATCTCACAATACATCTTGCGAAACACCTACACAGATACACAGGGAGTGAGATACTATGAAAGACAGGAAAGGAGACCTGCAACATCTTGAGGACTGCGGCACCCCCCCTTCTGCTAAGACGCGCAAGGTCAGGGTCTTCTGCTCTGCTTCAAGCCTTGAAACATCAACCAATGCAACACTGTGCGTCACCCTAGTTGATTGAATAGATGTTGCCCAACCCGGGCTTGGTGAAACAACTCGATCTCTTCATCAAAAGGGCAGCAAAGTTCAACAAACAAATGAACGCATAGTACAATCAATAATCTCAAGCCTTGCCTCGATAAACAGGTCCATAATGTCCGTAGTAACTCACCCGAATTTGCAGACCCTGCTCTTTAATCTCAACAAAGCCTATTTAGGCTAATTCGCGCAACAGTTGCCTGACTCTTCTCTTTTGAATTTGAATTTGCCTTCATATGCAAGTCAAGCCTACATTCTGAGCTGCAACACGGCCAACATTCTGTAGTTTCCTGGTGTTAGCAGCTACTATCTCCTTTACAAAGTCCCAGCTGCAAGTCACGCTTGGCGGAGAATGATGAGAGAGTCTCTTTGAACTCACCCATCCTCAGCGTCCAAGGCTTAGTTCGTTTGCGAAGCACAAAGAGGCAGCTGCAAGGACCTCAATGCATGGAGCCTCAGAAGCTGTTAGCCCCATTTCGGAATGGTTTAATGGTTGCGCAATTTTGTTGGCAACGTTGTGAAGTCAGGAATTCGCCACAGCCAAGCAGCCAGCCTATTCCCCAACGGGCCATCCAACAGTCTTGAAAAGATCGAACAGCAACCTGGCAAAGTATGTTGAAGTCTGCCCAAAGATGCCCAAACTATCTTCCTTTGCCCAAGCGTCTGCTTTTCCAAGCCGGCCTTCAAGTCGTTCAAGGAATCCCTGAGATTCTCTTGCTCTGCACTCAATTCCTGTCAGCTTGTGAGCACCGTCCATTACCAAGACTAATACAAGCAGCCATGGCCAGCTGTTCCTTACCCAGTCCTTGACGCCTTGGTCAAGGCTCGCAATCATCACATCAGCCGCATTCAACAGCTGCTCGGCCTTGAACAAATCAGCTGTCTTACACCACAGTAGTGTCCATTTGGGGAAAACACGCCGGAGTTCCTGACCTTTCAGCTGGGAACGAGTGATCGAAATGGGTGAACTAGCTATGAGAACGTTTGGATCTGCTGCATCTGGAGTTTACCACTGTCAGAGTTGCAAACTCCATATACGTGTCTTACGTTCTGTGCAATAAACAGCAGCGTCGATGTATTCTGTAAATATAGTCTCACCACCCCCTGCCCTGCGAGGAACAATTCCACACTATTCTCCCTGTGAGATACATGGAGAGACCCTATTTTGGCATGTCGTTCACAATGCGGAATCATTTTGGCATCTTGATTAAAAAAATAAAACAATCCGGGGGCAAAGCTTTGCACTCGCTCACCTTTTGCTGTTTGATGAAAGCTATGGTAACCTACAACGGCGTGTATTCTGTTGGTTGTATTGCAGTGGGTGTCTTCTTGGTTCTCTGTTCTGATTCAATGACGGTAAGCGGGTTTTGCAGCATCAAGCATCAAATGGACACGAGCGGCACAGCGCTCAGTGTCAGAGCAAACAAACGTTTGGTACCTCTTAAGTGGACCAATCACAAAATACTCCAAAATTGATGATGACGATTATATATACATATTTAACAAAAATGCACTTTATACCCTGGTCTGAGGGTTGTTTTGGAAATTATTCCAGAAGCACTATTCCAGGAGGTGACATGACCTCTGGAAAAAAGTAAATAGGCCGCACATGGCCAGTCCCTGGGGTCCCTGCTTGTCCCACCCACCCAAAATAACAAACAACATAATCAAGGTACCTACACTACACATACCTCTAGTCTAGTCAAATATATACATATATATTATATATACATATATATTATATATATATACATATATATTATATATATATAGACTCTACTTCCAACTGTTTCAAATAATAAAGAGTCATCTGCACAAAAACAATGAGAAATACATTTGATGCATTGATGATTCTTCAAGTATCTTCCAACCAAAAATGACTGTTCAGATCTGTTCAGAATACAGGCCCATCAGCAAACAATCGCCACACTATGTGACAACACGTCTGAAATTTGAATGCCATGGATTCAGAGCAATTCTGAAATGCCATGGTGAAAAAAAATGGAAAAGTGCAAAAAGGTCATGAGTCATAATCTGTTTTCACCAATTCGAACTTCCCTAAGAATCTAGGAACAAAATAAATAGTGCGAGCGTGAGCTATTCTATCTTGCGTGGTTACTTAGTAAGCTATCCTGCCCTTGATTAACTAACTGCCTACTTAATTTAAGTAAGGGTGAGGGTATATAACGGTTTAACGGGTTTCAAAAAAGACACACATAGAACAAAGTTTCCAAAAAAATCTAGGAACCAAATGAATAGTGCGAGCATGAGCTATCCTGCGTTCAGTAGGTAGTAGCTTAAGTATGGCACTAGCTACCTCTTCTACCAGCTACCTCTAGCTACTATATACCTCTACTAGCGGCAACAAAAACAACTTCGACTGGAATTTCTCTTTTCTCTCTTTTCTCCTCCCGCAGCTTCGCCTCCGGCAGCTCTGTCTGTGTGGAGCTTTGAGCTACCTCCAGGCGAGCGCATGCGTCACAGAGCAGCTCCTCGGTGTCATCGTGAAACAGTTCTTATTGCCCATCCGACTGTTCTTATCGCAGTGCTTTTCTTGAGCGGTCGGGCACATGCATTGGAAAAAAAAAACAGAACAAACATGTGTTCTCTTGTGTCTTGATACTCTTCGGCTTCGCACAATACCCGCAAACCACGCTGACAAGTTTGACTGGGAAGAATGGCGACAAAGGACCATTTTTTAATGATACGGCGACCACCGAGATCTACACTTAGATTCACTTCCGGCTTAGCCATTTAGGATCTACGATCAGGCCAGTTCTTGCCATTGCGATTCCTGTTTCACAACATGAGCCAGTGAGAACATCGTTTTTGGGGTGTTCTGTATGGTGTCAAGCTCAAAGCCATACTCTTGGAAGTAAAGGAGAGGCGATGAAACAGCATCCATCTTCACAGGTCCTTCCAGCATGACCTTCTTCCTCACCAAGCGGCACTCCGTGTGCGCAGGCGCGACGCTTCGGCCTCGGCCGCCTTGAGCCGCGTGCGGTTCAGGGCGGCACGGATGCCAACCTTGGACATCCTGGGCGTCGAAGGTACCACTGCAGCTTGGGGTCTCAAAGTTCCGAGCAGCTTTGCAATCCTTCAAACGGATTCGGAGGGTCATGATGTTCAATAGACATTTTTTTCGGGTTTGTTTCGTTGTTTGTTTGTTTTGCCAGTAACATGTTGGGTTGCCTGATATCACAGAAATGAGTGGAGACCGGAAAAACTGGGTTGAACTCTACACCCTTTGGTTTTGAGATGTTTTGAGACTATTTTCCAAACTAAGGTATTGGAGCGGACGAGACTGCGCTTCAAGCTGTAAAAGCGGCAAACAAAACTCATAGAATCTCATAGATGCTAAGCTAGGCCAAGCATGATCATTGAAGAAGGAATGGCACGCATGAGGTGATGGGATGTGCAACAGCAAGTCTAGCGTTCATCTAGGTCTAGCTCGCGACTCACTGATCATGACAGCTGGTTTACTCCAACATGGGAGGCACTATCCGTCACTATGGATAGGCTTCTCTGGGTGAAAAGTGGGTTACCGCAGCTTTTTTAAGCACTCAAATCAAGCAAACCGTCCCTCCAGAATCAGTGCATGTTTGGCAAATGGATGACGAAGGAAGCAAAAGGCCGGAAGTCATACAAGCTTGGCGAGCACTAAGCGAATTTCAAGCCAGTCAATCTTTAGATTGTGGCACCGTAGTCTGTTAGACAAAACACTTTTTATTAGTGCTGAAGTACAAATATAAAGTACAGCCCTCGCTGGACCCTCACTGAAGCCTATAGGACTTTGAACATTGAGCACCATCCTTAAATTTCCAAATTCCGCTTGTTCATCGGCAAGCTGCCAGGACATGCCAAAAAACAAAACCAGCAAAGCTTCTGGTTTGCTCCCTCGGCGTTGCTTCACCAAGCGGCCCCTCCTTTGAGCGTAGCAACTCTGCAGTGTCGCCCACCTGATCGGGTATGATCGGGTGTCGCCGCTGAGGACCAGTGCCAGCCTCCTGACTTGTGGGTCTCATAGGATAAGAGGGACTTGTGACTTTTCCTAGATCTCACAACGCTCAATGTCCGCCATGACCCGATTCAGTCCAACTGTCGTATTGTATGGTGAGAGTGCGAGCTATTTTGCAATTCCGCATGCACAGCATTGACTTTGTCAAACACGACTACTATATACAGCCTACTACATTTATATATGATATATACTGATACTGTAAAATTATTGACAAACCACCATGCGTGATGTGCGAGTCCTCACCACTTGGGAGCATGAGCAACTTTGCCCAGAGACCAACCCTGCCTCTTGAGGAGGTGCTACCAAAGCAGCCAATTTCCGATCCAAACAGCGCAAAGTCAACGGGATTAGCTCGTATTTCCACTGGCGCTTCACCTGAAGGCCACCCGTGTTTCATATCGGAATTGGCTTTGCTTCCTTTTGTTCTGGTCATTGGATTTTCTTTCCCTTGATCTACTGTATCTCTGCAAAGTGAACCTCAATTCAACCACTGATGAGTGTCGATGGCCGTGTAGGCAGCATAGGCCGCATGAGTGAATTTTCCGGATGTGCTGCTTAAATGACTGCATCTGAAAATGGGCTCTCTCACTGGCAAACACCCCACCACGCGACCAGCTTTCCACATCAAGTACAGGCAGGCCACCAAGGACAGTGCGCGCTTGGCCCAAAGCCGACAGCTGCCAGCCTCATAGAGATCCCACACTGCATTGAGTATGGCACCGGATGAATGATGTGCCTGTAACATGGCCGAATCCAGTTTCAGCCAGTTTCCCGCTGCAAAGAACCCACTGGAGACGACTTGGCATTTGCATGATTCGTTCTTGCCAACGTGGGCATCCCACCCAAAGCGGTGAGCGTTCATGGCGCCTTCAAAGGTCCAAATTCATCACCGAGGAGAGCCTGGCAACAAGCGAACATCACCGTGAAATCTGAACAACATGTGCTTGTGAGTTTCAACTTGCATCTCATGAAAACGAATCGTCGCAAATCCACTGGTTTGTGATTCCTTCTTTTGGCAAGAACATGTGGCATGATGTCCGCACCCATTAAGGGTTAAATCGAACCATGCGAGCTTCAACAGTTTTGGCTGCAGAATCATTTCAGTATCCAGTCAGCACCTCCAACAGTGTGGGCCACAATGACAAGGCACCGGGCAGTAGCAGGCGTTCGACCTGGAGAGTTGCAGGTCGAACGGAACGGAGCAGAACAATTCACACGATATGATTGAACTTGACCTTGATCACACCCAATCTCCAGCTTTGAATCTCCAGCTGCTTGGTGACATTGGATGACATTGGTATGTTGGCATGGACAAACTTGGAGAGAAAGTCAAAAAGGGTCCCGCAACTCTTCCCAACTTCCCTCTTGATTCGTTTGCGACATCACGTTTCCAGGACAAACAAGACAGAGGTCCGGACTAAACATTGCAGTGCGCGGCTCAAAGCACTTGGCACCATGTCGGAGTCGACACCTCACTTGCTTCGCTCTCTGACAAACAAACAAGGGGGACATGAACAGGGCGAACGCTTGGCTTGTATGACACCAAATCAACACTCGAACCATACGTTTGTCCCGCTAAGTGCGTCATCTCTTCGGTCTTTCTCCAAAGAACAAACCAAAAAATAAACGACACGAAACAGTCACTTGGTTCTTGCATGTTCTCTCCGGCCTGGGCGTTTACCTTTCAGCAGCTCGGAGCGTAAAGCGGGCACCTGGCCATTCGCAGTTTCTATGTGCTCCCAAGTTATGAACAGCGTATCCGATGACTGAGTTTGCATGCATTTATATTGCAAATCTTTTCACAAATGCGGGGTTCTTCTATGTCCTTTTCCCCCAACTCTGGGGCACTTTAGGACTCTTTAGGTCCGATTCATCCAAAGGATCACCAGCCCGGGAAGCCTTTTGGAATGGCAATGACCTTTCCTTTCCCAGGTCCAATCAAGGCAATTCGATTCCAACCGACCCGACCCTGTGAGAATCCAAGTGATGGCTGTGGGTCAAGACCAGGACCATTCTGAGCATTCTGGTTGACCCATCTGCTACAGGTTTCAGGCACCTTGGTGCATGTCTCCAGTAGGGATTCCAAGGCTTGGCTACGCAAGAGCGCCTGCAGGATCCGGTGACGGTCACACGGATCCGACGCCAAATGACCGATACACCGTGACTTCAATCCAACATGAACAAATATATTAAAAGAAATCAAACAAAAATGGTTTGGTGATGGTTTATGTTACCACATGTGTGGGCGAATGCTTGTCACCCACCTTGTTGTTGTTGTTTTTTGGGATGCGAGAGCTGCTGGCGTAAGAGTGGACAGAGCTGCATCTTGAGAACACTGCTTCAGGTTCTCTCACATTTATCCAGACATATTTTATAGTATATGTAACCTGTCATTTTTTTGGAATTCTGTGATGCTTTCAATGGCTGGAACTTCAAATTGCTTTTGGAGGATAGCTTCAAAAAGCATCAAAAGACTCAGGGGGTGATGAGAGAGGCGAGGGAGGCAGCGGACTCTGGAGTTGCGATGCTGCTTGCTCTGTAGTTGCTGACACGTGTCAAATCCGTTTCGGTCCGTTTCTCCTCCCTGCCAGTGAGGCCCTGTGGGGGAAGACAGCAACCCACGGGTCTTGACACTGAAGTGCCTGGTAGAAGGACAAAGGTTCTGCCTCAGTTGCAACAGGGTCGAAGAGCCAACCTATCAAACGGTCAGTCCATGGTTTCGGCAAATAGGGATCCTGAGAAATTTATCTTGTTAGGAATTTCTGCTGTTGGCGAAGCAAGCGCGATCCCAAGGCTCGAGCCAAGCCATGATCGCCTGCACAGTCAAAAGGCATTGGACTAGACTCCAACACCAAGACCAACACCAAAATCCGTAGGTCCCTTCAAACATATGGAGTTGAAACGTAGACTTGAGCAGCTGTCGTGGCCACATGCGGGACCCTTGGGGAAAGGACAAAGACATAAATAACATCACCACACCCAAGATCACCCAAGCAGTGGTGAACCCCTCTGGGGCTTTCCGGTGGTCATATTCAATCAAGTCCATGCTTTGAGAATTGAGATTATGTTTAGAGTGTGATTGGTTTTGACATGCTCTGACTCAACCTGTTTGCTGGCTTGGCCAGATCAATTCTCCCTCCAAGTGCCTAGCGGAGCTTCGGTGTATCGATTTCTTAAATAGGTCAACAGGACCCCGATGGGACTTGACTATGTTGATCCGAGTTCACTATGTCACCATGTTCACCCTGTTAGGTCTCTGACCTTCACAGCTTTCCCTTCCAAACATCACCCTAGGGAGTATCTTTTCACATCTCGTTGACTCATGTCGACTCCACAGACCATCGCTGGAAAGCCGAGTCTCCGGTTCCCGGAAAGACTGCTTTGCTCCTCTGCCTTGCTACATCTTGCTACTGTACTCAAAAACAGTGAGAGGATGTCATGATGTAAGGGTAAAGAACCCCCCTTATAAAGGCACCGTCTGGTCTCTTCCTTTCTTTTTCCCTCTCGTCACTCTCGTCTTCTCTTCTTCTTTTGCTTTGGACACCGTCTCCGCACCATGGACCGTTTCGCCTGGCATCTCCCGCCCCAAAGTGAAGGAGCCCTGTCCGCTGTCGCTGCGCTCCACCTGGAAACGACAAGAAAACTCCTAGTAGCTTCTTGTTCCTAGTAGTAAGGAGCCCCTAGTAGCTTGTTGTTCCTAGTAGTAAGGTCAGGAGCCCCTAGTAGCTCCTGGTTCCTAGGAGTAAGGTCAGGAGCCCCTAGTAGCTTCTTGTTCCTAGTAGTAAGGTCAGGAGCCCCTAGTAGCTTCTTGTTCCTAGTAGTAAGGTCAGGAACCCCTAGTAGCTTCTGGCTCCCAGTAGTATGGAGTCCCCAGTAGCTTCTTGTTCCTAGTAGTAAGGCCAGGAGCCCCTAGTAGTTTCTTGTTCCTAGTAGTAAGGTCAGGAGCCCCTAGTAGCTTCTTTTTCCCAGTAGTAAGGCCAGGAGCCCCTAGTAGCTTCTTGTTCCCAGTAGTAAGGCCAGGAGCCCCTAGTAGCTTCTTGTTTCAGGAACCCCTAGTAGCTTCTTGATCCTAGTAGTAAGGTCAGGAGTCCCTAGTAGCTTCTTGTTCCCAGTAGTAAGGCCAGGGGCCCCTAGTAGCTTCTTGTTCCCAGTAGTAAGGTCAGGAGCCCCTAGTAGCTTCTAGTAGTAAGACCAGGGCCCCTAGTAGGTTCTGGTTCCTAGTAGTAAGGTCAGGAGCCCCTAGTTCCTAGTAGTAAGGTCAGGAGCCCCTACTGTAGTAGCTTCTTGTTCCCAGTAGTAAGGCCAGGGGCCCCTATAGTAGCTTCTAGTAGTAAGGCCAGGAGCCCCTAGTAGCTTCTTGTTCCTAGTAGTAAGGTCAGGAGCCCCTTGTAGCCTCTTGTTCCTGGTAGTAAGGTCAGGAGCCCCTAGTAGATTCTTGTTCCCAGTTGTAAGGCCAGGAGCCTCTAGCAGCTTCTTGTTAAGGTCAGGAGCCCCTAGTAGCTTCTTGTTCCTAGTAGTAAGGCCAGGAGCC